AAAGGAGTGATTTTGAAATCAGGGGATTGAAATTGCAAAATGTCTGGTCATTATTGCTCAAATTATCATGATTTGCTTGTGCCACCACAGTAGATGATTGCCAGCACCAGCCCATTGGCTGTACATTGACTACAGAAGTGACCTCAKTCAGGGCAAATAGGAATCACATTTTGTCAAAAGGGAGTGGCCATAGAACTTCAGATGAAAGCTCTGTCTAGTCTGGCAGAACAAGAAAGTACCCATGAAAGAGTAAGTGCAGCATAAAYGTGTTTGATATGCACCCCAATTACTCTCCTGACCAAATAGCAGAAACAAGTGCAAGTGACTTTCAAAACTAATTCAAAAATTCAGATACCAAGCAGGACCAGGACAGCCATCAAGCTGTGTTTTGTTCATGTAGGAAGATAAACCAACACCCACAAAGCASCAGTGCTCTGCATTTACTCACAAACTCTCTCTGGGAAYATCCAGCAGAACATCAACACCAGCAACTGTCACATTCTCAAATCCTCTGTGTCTCACTGATASTATTGCAGGCTTAGAGAGGCTGCTTTCAGTAGCACCAGCAAAAACTACAGCAACCTGATTTACCCACTCCAATATGTGCTGCAACTTTATTTAGACTTGGATCCACTGCTCTGGTTCCCACCAGGTCCAGATACCTCTTCACAGATGGGTGTCAGAGCTCACCTTCTACCTGCCACTGATCCCTCCTAGTTACAAACTATTGAAAGACAGGGTRATACTCTAAGTATTAATTTTATATATAGCTAAGCTACACAAGTTCGCACTTGTTAAAACACACAGCATCAAARGAACTTGAGAAATACCAAATGTATAAAATCTACTATCCACTTTCAGTCTCCTCATACAGTTGTTTCTTTTGACTAAGCACCTACAGCAAATTCACTCTTCTCATGCTTGCATGTTATACTACTGGAAGGAGTCTATACAGGAGACTTCAACCCCCTTGCATTAAAAACACAGAAAAACTCGCCTGGTATCACCAGCAAAAATGTTTCCCAGAAACCCTATTCTTTTCTATCAATGTACCTCAAACTAACCTAAAGGGAACAGCAATTTCAGTTCTTGCAGGAACATGATGGAGCCCTGAATCAAATGTAGCTTTGAGACCTTTCCAGTCTATTTTTTGTAAAATCAATATTCTAAGGGAGGCCAAAGAGACCTTTAAACTCCAGACCYAGGTTTTGTTTTATAGAAACTAAAGCACAATCTTCTCACATGGGRGACGAGCAGAATGTATTTTGCAAGATAAAATAGTAAGGAAAGGATATGTTAAGAAATTTCCCCCTTTTCCACTGTGTCACTGAATAGCATTAGTCAAACCCAGTGACTTTTCAGATCRCTTTAACCCCCACACAATTACCTCTGGTTATCTCCTTCTCTGTYACTTCTGTGGCTGGGCAGTATCTGTACTCTGCTCTTTTCAGGAGTCTCCTTGCTGTGCAACAGATTCCTGCACTCTTACACACCCTGCTTTTTCCCCTGACCTATGCTGCAGTCCAGAAGAAAATTGCTCTCAAGGGAGGAAGATAGCTCAACCTAAACTTATAATTTATTTTACAGGAAATTTAGAGTAAGGACTGAGAACAAAAAAGTAAAAAAATGGTGTATTTTCCACAATAATTTCTTTTTTTTTTTTTGGGGGGGGGGGGGGGGTTTGCTTTTGCTTGTTGTTTTTTTTTTTTTTAAGTACAAAGCTCTGAGGGTTTTTTTGTTTTTTTGTTGTTCTGTAACACGCTGAGAACAGCGATTAAATTTTGTTTTTAATTGAATTTGTGCTGCAGAGAGTCCCTGCTGGTGTAGGAGTAGGCTTTGCCCAGCACCAGGCGGTCCCGCAGCAGTTTGAAGAAGGAGTAGTAGTTGCTGAAGAGGATGAGGGCCAGAGAGATGGTCTGGTGCCATTTCTCCGAGGAGATGAGCGAGTAGAGCTGGTASAGGATGACGGCGCCCTCCAGCACCAGCAGCATGTTGAGGATCCGCAGGGGTTTGCTGAAAAAAAACTGAGAGGGGAGAGGGGACAGGGTCAGGGGAGGGAGGGAGGGGTGGGGAAGGTGGGTGCTGGGGGAGATTCTGTACTGAACACAAATAAATCCCCCAACCTGGACTGAGATCCTGAACCCAAATAAAACCCCCACGCTGGGGGAGATTCTGTACTGAACCCATTCTGAGATCCTGAACCCCAATAATCCCCCACCCTGGGCTGAGATTCTGTACTGAATCCCAAAAATTCCCCATCCTGGGAGGGAGGGACGGGCAGGGCAGGCTCTGGGGGAGACTCTGTACTGAACCCAAATAAATCCCCCACTCTGAGATCCTGAACCCAATAATTCCTCAGCTCTGGGGTGAGATCCTGCACTGAACCCCAATAAATCCCCCACTCTGAGATCCTGAACCCCAATAATTCCCCAGCTCTAGGCTGAGATGCTGCACTGAACCCTAGAAATTCCCCCACTTAGTGCTGAGATCCTGAACCCCAGAAATTGCCCATCCTGGGAGGGAGGGACGGGCAGGGTGGGCTCTGGGGGAGATTCTGTACTGAACCCCAA